CCAATATTTGGAGAATATAGGTTTCCGCGGCAATAGGGACTAAAGTCAGACATTCAGCAGGGCTTCCTCAACGGAAGGAATGAACGTACTATGGAGTTGGGGTGGGGTAGCAGTGAGAAGTCTAACCTGCTCCGGTGACCCCAAAGGAGAACTCGGGCAGGAGGGCACAAAGGGGCCTAAGGGGCAGGGAGAGGAAGAGAAGAAGGGATAGAAAGCTGGCAGGATGGTCTCTCCATTCGCCCCCTCCTCACAGTACAGGCCAAACGAAAGAAGGAGAACTGAAAAACAGCAGCACCAAAAATCTGGGTCACACTCCAAGACTTTCCCCATCATAAGGCCAAGTTCTTGGGGCATTAGCCTTCACCACCCGCTGGGGCAAGGAACAGATCTAAAGTCCTGATCTGGGAGGCAGAAGGCCTGGGTTCCTGGCACAGTTGACCATCGATCTGCCAGATGTGACCTGGGATGGGTATCTGCCCCTTTCCATGCCTCAGTAAACCCAGCAGCACGCTGCAGGCCTGGGCAGAAGGGTCCCAGGGGGCCCCTTCAGGGAAAGCGAAGGCCAGCCGAATTCTAGGAGGCCAGGTACCCTGCTCCCACGTGGCCCTGAAGCTGCCCTCCCAGGTGGACACACAGGTGAACAGAGGCCTGTAAGGGCAGCCCTGCTGGGGCGGGGGGCCTCCACACGGGTGGAGGCAAGAAACTTAGGGAAGGGGGTCAACGCTCTTCTGTCCTAGGGGTCTGGGCTGGGGCTGCAGGCCCAGGTGTGTGTCTGTGAAGTCAGCAAAAAGGTGGCGGCAGCTCTGTATTAGATTTCTTTCGATGGATGTATGCTGCAGGTGCATTTGTGACACCCATGGCCGCGTGTGTCAAAGTTGTAGTGAGTGTGTGCACGAGACAGATAGTCGAGTGTGCGGCGGAGACGTGTGTGTGTGTGTGTGTGTGTGCAAAGCCAAGTACAACACAAGTATGACCGCTTTGGACGAGGGTGGCAGTTGCCGTCCATCCTCACAAACTCTTGCTCCCCGCCCACCCCCTGCTGCCTGGGTGCTGGGTGCCGGGTGATGGGGACAGAGAAGATGACACAGGAGCACCGCTCCTGTGGGGCCTGGGACTGGGGTGCTGGCTGAAGCCTAGATGCAGGGGAAAGGCAGCTCTGAGTCAGACCTAGCTCTCAGGAGGCTCCTCAGAGACCTCTCCTGGGGCTCAGTCTCCCCACCTGTCAAATGAGGATAGCAGCCCCCGCCTGGCGGAGGTGGTTTACGGAGCGCGCTTAGCATGGGGCCTGGTGCACAACTGCTGTTCCATGCACGATCAGAAATTTCTGTTCCAACTGCAGGAGCCCCCACGCCCCCCCACCCCCCACCCCTGCCCAGGCAGCTGCAGGAAGCAGGAGGGACGTCCTGGATGGGGAGTCAGGGGTCTTGGGGTCTGGTTCGGCATCTGCTTCTGATCCACTGTGTGACTTGGGTCCCCAGAGCCTTCGTTTTCTTAGAAGCAAAATGGGCTGTCCAAATGTGAGGACCCGCCGAGTGGGGACGCCTGAGGGCTCCGGGCCCCCCTTTGCTGGGCTGATTTCCATCCCAGGCAGTGATCTTTCTCAGATGGTCAGGGTGGGAGCTTGGAAGACTCCAGGGTTAGGAGTCTGAGGGCCCCAGGAGCTGCCGCCACCCTCCTCCCCTCCCCATTCCCACAGCTTCTGACCCCAGGGACAAGGCTGAGGAGGATGTTTACAGAATGTAAACCTTCACATAGAGAAAGTGCTGGGCAGCTGGGGGCTGGGAGCAGCCAGAGTCTCACAGTGGCGCGGGGAAAATGGGGGGTAATGACCTTGCCCTGTATCAGCCCCTTCCAGCCCTCGAACTTTAAAAGGGAGGCTGGGGGCAGGGGGAGCTTTGAGAGGGTGCAGCGAGGAGGTAAGCATTCTCCACCCCCACCCCACCCCCATCCCCGGCGAAGGCTCAAAAAGCAGGAGGGGCCATGATGTGGTATCTCTCAACATTCAGAGAGCAGGGCGTGTGAAGGGTTGAGGGCTTAATCAAAGACTGGGATGCCAAGGAGGGACTGGGGTTTGGTGACAGGACCAGGGGCCTACAGAGAGGTGAGAGAGCTCGGAGAGGGGCCCGCAATCCCTCATTCTGGACCTCAATAAGAGGACGGGCGTCAGCAGTTCCCACTTCCCAGAGACCACAGCTGCATGGGCAGGAGAGGCGGGATCCAGGCTTGTCCTCTGGGCAATCTCCCACACTTCAGAGCCAGAAAATGTGCAGGTTGTGGGGGGACCTCGCTGGCAGGTGTGAGGCTGGCGTCCCCTGGGGTGAATGGACTCAGCTCACCCCAATCCTCCCCTTCCTGAGCCCTCCTCTTCCAGGCTTTTCTGCCGGGCTCCCCCTGCTAGGGCCCGAGTCTCTGGGAAGGGGGTGCTAGCTAACTGTGCGCACGGGGACCCCTGCATTTGAGCCGCCTCTGAGCGCAGTAGCAGAGGTGGGAAAGATTTGACCGAAAGTGCAGCAGGACGGCTAGGAGTGCAACAGCAAGAAGCACTTCCTGGCAAGAACGGCCAAGACCCTACAGTGAGCGACTGGGAAACCCCACATCTGGAGCACCTCAAGAACAGCAGAAGCCTCCTGTCCGGCCCCCTCCGCCAGCCCCAGGAATAACACCCATCTTTCACACTCAGACAGACCCTTGCAGCAAACCAAGCTCTTGCCCACCTATTACCTCCTCCGAGACAGAGGCCCACACGGTTGGGGTTTCTACCCCACTTTGACGGCCGAGACTTCTAAAAGCTCAGAGAGGTCCAGAGATCAATCCAAGATCACACAGCACCGAAGAGGTGGAGCTCCCGACCCCTCGTTCCACTTGATCTCTAAGACAGACAACCAGTTCCCTGAGATCCCTAACCCTCTGGACGTTTTCACGCCGCATTTCCTCTCCCCCAGAGCTCCTGAGATGCTTCATCCCTGGCCTTCCGGGAACAAGTGGTCGGAACAAGCCTGCCCCTGGCCAGGGCATTCCTGGCATCCGGAAAGGGCGGGATGTGGGGCAAAGCTGCCAGCACATTTAGCTCCTGGAGAGGTAGGAGAGGCCCTTCCAGAGGAGGCGAAGACAGCAGCCGGCTGGGCGACATGAGGCAGGTCCTTCACCTCCGGTGACCCCCGTGGGGGCTGAGAGGACAAGCCACAGGACAAAAGACCCCCGCCTCAGAGGCCTACTGGGTTCCCCGGGCCCAGCCTTGCCTTGTAAGAGTCATCTCCCAAGAGGAGCCCATGGAAGGCAGAGTCGCTCTCTGCGGAGTGTCTCAGCCTCCTTGGGCACCCCAGGCCGCGTGTGGGCAACTCAACCACCCTTCACCACTCCTCTCTGCAGCGAAAAATATTCATCCCAGACCCCGCAGTGGGCACTGGGGCTTGGGCTACTCCTAACAGTTGACCCCGACCCTAAGTCGGACCTCGTGTCCTGACAAACTCACCTCTGCCCCCGGCCTAGCCCAGCTGGAGTCTCTGCCCCAGGTCAAGGCTGCCACCCCCAGGGAGCCAACTGGCTGACAGAGTTCTCTTCCTCCGACCCCCCCTGTGGCCAGGGGACTCTTTGGCCAGCATTTTCCTCCCCGTCACCTCTGCAATTCTGCAGGCCCAGGTAGGATGGGGCAGAGACAGGCAGGAAGATGGACCAAAAGACAGGTAGAAACAGACAAGTAGAAGACTGAGACAGACGGACAGGCAGATGGACAGGTGGACGGACAGGCACACAGAGGGATGCCTGTCCCACAAGCGGGATGGAAACAGACAAGCAGAAGGACCACTGGACAGTGAAGGAGCTGGGGGAGACGAACGGACGGGCCAACTCGCACACAGGTGGGAATGCCGGCAGAGGGACAGCAGACAGGCAGAAAAACTGTCTGACAGTCAGGTGGACAGGCAAGGGGGCCACCCAGGAGACCCCAAGACCAGAGGGCCCTCTCTGAAGGCAGCAAGAAGGGATTAATACCGGTACATTTTCCAGGGACCGGAGGTATTTCTCGGGCACCTCCGGGCGTCCCAGTGCCAGGCCCAGCCCTTCAACTGATATCCGCGGGGCCTCTCATGTTCCCGGCGGGGCCAGGCCGTCCCCCAAGACTGAGCTCTAGGCTGCCAAAATTCACTCTTTACATCCAAGAGGGGTCAGTGTTTTTGAAAGTTGCAGGAGCCTGGCAAGGGGGAGGACGGGGCCCGCAGCGTCAGTATTTCCAAACCGACTGCTCTCGTCTCTTTTTCCCCAGGGTGCCCGGAGCCAGGCCTGGTGCCACAGTCAGAGGGCTGGGCAGGCTAGCGGGCCCAGCCACCGGGGCAGGCAGGGCCACCCGCTGCTGCTGCCACTGGCGGGTGCAGGATGGAGGGGAGGCTGGGTGAAGGCAGACACAGGGCACACACACGAGTGTCAGGGCTCAGGTGGCTCACTGGGACCCCCGAGCCCCTACAATGGGGGGCCAACCCGGACTGCGGTGGAGGCCATCCCTGTAGAGGGCCATCTCCAAGGGGAGCCCAGGTGGGAGCCCACTGTGGCAACAAAGTTGGGGAGCTGGTAACAGAAACTGTGTGGGGGCCAGTGGGTCCCCTTTGTGTCTGGGGCACAAGGAGACGGGGGCAGGGAAGAGGAAAGGGGACCCCACTGTAGTGGCTCCGGACTGCAGGAGGATGGGGGACAAGAAACTGGATGTGGGGAGTACCTGGGACAGAGGAGCAGGGGTTGGAGATCAGGATGAAAACAGTTGAGGTGGGGAGGTCAGAAGCGAGGTCAAGCAGGGGTCAGGACCTGGGGATCAGGGTTAAGGTCAGGCTGGGGGACAAGAAATGGGGCTCAGGCCTGAGGGTGACCGAGAGGAGGGTCGGCCGTGGGAATGGGGGGCAGGGGGCGGAGCCAGGGCGGCCCGCGGGCCCCGGGGGAGCCAAGGCTAGGGCAGGGGCGGCACCGGGCGGGAGCGCGGGGGCGCGACGGGGGGCGCGGGGTCGCAAACTCACATGAAGACGTGGTAGACGAAGGCCCAGCCGCGGGGTCGCTCCAGCACGTTGTAGACCCAGTTCTGCAGGCGGCGGTAGCGCTTGTGCGCGGCAGAGGAGCGCTGGCCGCAGGCGGAGCCCGAGCCCGAGCCCGGCCCAGGGAGGGGCGCGCCCGGCGGTAGGGGGCTGCCCAGGAGGCCGAGGCGGCGCGGGGAGCCGCCCCCGCCCGCCTCGCCCCGCTCGCTCTGCACTGCCGTGAGCGCCACCAGCTCGGCGCGGGGGGCGTCCCCAGGCGGGGGGGCCAGGCCGAGGCGGCGCGGGGGGG